ATAAATGGCTCAAGCATGAAAAATTCAAATCATTAGTGACTGACACAGGGAGAAACACTCTTGTTAGGGGTACTGCTAGCTACAGAGCTCAGAAGCTAAAGATCTTAAAGGCAGAAATTAAAAATTGGGCCAAAGTCATTGCTAAGCAAGAAGAAGAGGACTTTTCAGGTATTATTGATGAAACTGACAATCTTGACAGGTTGGAGGCTGAAAACCACTTATCCCCTCAAGACAAAGAGAAACGAAGCAATCTGAAAATTAATCTGGCACATAAACTTCATCTAGAAGCAATTTTTTGAAAGCAAAGATCTAGGAAAAAATGGCTCAAAGATGGGGATAAGAACACAAAATATTTTCACATGCTGGCCAATCATCGGAGAAGGATCAACTTCATTGATGAACTCAACATTGACGGGCACATTCTCAAATGCAATAATGAATTGAGAGATGGGACAAGTAAGTACTTTCATAAGTTATATAATGAGAATTTTTCCTCCCACCCCGTCTTGACGATCTTCATTTTAATAATATTAATGGTGACCGAAATCTACTGGAAAGGAAATTCACTAAGATGAAAATTTATGACTGCCTTCGGGATTATGATAGCGATAAAGCCCCTGGGTCAGATGGTTTCAATCTCAAATTGATTCAATCTTTCTGAGATATCATTAAGCAAAATATCATGAATTTCTTTAATGTTTTTCATAATCATGGTTTCTTTGTAACATCACTCAATTCTACTTTTCTTATTATGATTTCGAAGAAAACTAATTCAAGAACATTAGAAACTATTAGTCTCATTGGGTGCATCTATAAATTATTATCTAAGATTCTAGCTAAAAGATTATCTATAGTTCTTCACAAGATAATTGGTGACTCACAAAATGCTTTTGTTCATGGTAAACAAATTTCAGATGTTATTCTTATCGCAAATGAAATGGTGGATGAGGTCATTAGGAACAACAAACAAGGTGTTTTGTGCAAATTTGATATTGAGAAAGTCTTTGATCATGTAAGTTGGGACTTCATTGATTATATGTTGGAAAGATGTAGTTTCAATACAAAATGGAGATGTTGGATTAGAACATATATCACTACTACTAGCTTTGCAGTCATTGTGAATAGAGGCCCTTCTAACTTTTTCACTGGTTCAAGAGGTTTAAGGCAAAGTGACCCACTATCTCCTCTCTTTTTCATTATTGTTATGGAGGCTTTGAAAAAATTACTTGATAGGGCCAAAGAACTTAAACTGCTTCAAGGGCTTTCTATGGGACACAAAGGCAATCAAATTGAATTAGCACATCTATTTTTCGCGAATGACGCCTTCATTTTCTGTCATCCTGACATCCACTCACTAATTTTTTTGAAATGCACTTTATTATGTTTCCAAGCAGTTTCTGGTCTAAAAATCAATATTCACAAATCTGAATTGGTGGTGATGAGTTCTCAATCTGGTGAATCTCTGACACAAATTCTGAGTTGCAAAGTTTCTCAACTACCCATCTTGTACTTGGCGCCCCCTTTGGGACCAAATGCAAAGACGGAAAATGTTGGGATCCGATCATTGATATGTTTCAAAACCGACTTGCCAACTGGAAGAGAAAATTCCTATTAAATGTGGGACAATTAACTCTCATTAAAAGCACCCTATGTAATCTGCCTATTTATCTCATTTCAGTGTTCAACATTCCAACTTGTGTTGCCAACACTTTGGAATCCATCCAGTACGACTTTCTATGGGGAGATGATAATAGTAACAATAGAAAAATTTACATTGTAAACTGGAAAGAAATCAAGAAACCAATTAAAGATGGTGGTTTGGGCTTGAGATCTATAACTACACTTAACAAGGCCCTTTTTGATAAATGGATTTGGAGATTCTGGAAGGAATGTAATAAGTCTATGGAAATCAATCATGTTGTGCAAATGGTTCAACGGTGAATATCATGATCAATCTAGAATTAAAAATAACACATTTGGTTCGATCCTTTAGAAGAATATTTAGAAATTAAACAATATCTTTCTACAACACTCTAGTTGGGTTATTGGGAAGGGCAACAAAATGAGATTTTCTGACATATGGCATGACAAGTCTACTCTTCAAATAAGATCCTCTCTTATTTATGCTATTACCAAAGACAAAAATATTTTGGTTAAAAATGTTGCGATTCTTGGCAATCAGGACTTTTAACAGGTGTCAGTATTCAAAAATTTACAATAATGGAAGTTAGAAGAATATTTATCATTGCTACAGACTCTGTCTTTAACTCAAGTTTATGACAAAGAGAATAATTTAAAATGGCTACTCTCCAAAAATAGTACTTTTATTGTCAAATCTCTCTACAACCACTTGGCGAGCAATCTTAATCAAAACAATATTAGCTTCCCTTCCAACATAATATAGAAATTGGGTGCAGCTCCAAGAATTTCATTTTTTGCTTGGGAAGTTATAAAAGGCCGCATTCTTGCCCTTGATAACCTAATGAAAAGAGATTTCACGATTGCCAATAGATGTTTCCTATGTAAAAATAATTTTGAAACCTGTAACCACCTGCTTTTAGGCTGTTCGGTTTCATAGCACCTATGGAACACCATTATTAGTTTTATGGGGTTGTCTTGGGTCATGAACAACAACATTCATGTTGAACTCCTAGCATGGAAAGGCATCAGCAGCGAAAAAAAAATGTTAAGATTAATTCCACTCACCATAATATGGGTTCTTTAGAAAGAGAGAAACAATCGTATTTTTGAAGGAATAAAACTTGATTTTAACGAACTCATTTATTGTTGGTTTCACTGTTTTGGTTTCATTATTTTGAGACATAACATCGATGTCTTGATGATTTTGATTTTGTTGTCAATAGTTTAATCGACTTGAAAATACATTGGAAATGGGTTGTGCCCCCTTTTCACTCTAATATCAATACTAACTCCACATTTTTATTTTTAAAAAAGAGTTTAAAAGTATACTCTTGCACTTTATCCACTACAGTGTTTTTCAGCTATGTACCAATGGTTTCAAATTATATATATATATATATATATAATATTGCGTATATATAATATTCTTACATCTGCACCTTGTGTAATAGTCCCAAACCAAGAAAAGAATTTACAATGACGTTTTATATTTACTAACAAATCAATATATTAATAGATATATAAAAGGAATACCAAAAATTGACACGTGTCAGTTCTATAATATTTTATTTCAAAAAAAGAATTCCATCATTTTTTAATGGTTAATCAATTAAGAAATTTATCCAAAAATTTAAAAATAAAAAGAATTATGATAATTATTAAAAACTTCATATGGAGGAGTTATGAGCACTTCAGAATTTTAATCTTGAAATTGAACTTCATTCTTTAGTCAAAAACTAAAATCGGTAGGTCAATACCATTATTTGTATATATAAACACCACATTTTTTGAAATAATAAATACAAATACTATGTTAATTTTAATTACAAATTATATATTATACAAACATAAAATCTTAGATATTATTCACTCAAATTTTAAAATATAAAATTAATATGAAAAAGATATCTAATAATTATCTATTTGAATTTTTAAAATATAAAAAATAGAAGTTAATTTAGCTGACTACAAATTATACATTCAGTAATTTTTAAATACAAAAGTAGTTAACATATAAAAAGAAAATTGAATTCTTAATTATCTACCATTTATGCACTGTATAATTAATTTTTAAAGTTATAACTCGTGAGTAAACGAGACAGAAATTTAGTTTATTCTAAAGACTCTCACAGTTGTTAAATATATAAATAATATTCATTTAAAGTTTTGAAATAATTAACTAATATCATAAATTAGAATTCTATATCAAAATATTGACTGCACGAAAAGATGCTTGTTTATATTGCATCCCAGTTAAAAAATAGATTCTTATTCTTATTGTAACTATTTTTCTATTATAACTGATTATCCCCACATTAAATGATAGGATTCTTATTCTTATTGTGACTATTTCTCTGCTATAACTGATGCATCCCCACATTAAAAAATAGAATTCTTATTCTTATTGTGACTACTTTTCTATTATAATTGATACATCCTCACATTAAAAGATATAATTCTTATTCTTATTATGACTACTTTTCTACTATAACTTATATAGCCTTTAACTTTTTTGTGCATCCAATTATCTTCACATTCATCTTTTTCATATGATTCATTTAGACAGTGAAACTAACTATCATAATTTTATTATTTTGCTGCATAATACAAACATAAAATTGATAATGAGCAAACAGAAAAAGTTGTAATGAATAGGGATGATACCTTCCCATAAAGTCATCATGTAGGCATCAATCTTCGTGGCCTTTAACGCCATGTTTGGATAATGATAAATAATAGTCAATTAATGCATAGTACTCCACGGGTATGATAAAATTATATTTGTTTCAACTTCCCATCTGATAAAATGATAACAAACGATATCTAACTAGCACATTTTGAATGAATTTTAAAAACTACCGAATCGATAGTATGTGATCAACAAATAATTATATTTCTCATTATACCCTCACAAAATATATTTAATTTCCATTATACCCTCCTAAATAAATTATTATTTCAAACACATTTTAATTTTTTTTCTTAAAATAATTTTAAATTTAATATAATAATATATAATTACAAACATTTATTTTCAATATATAAACAATTTTATTTTTATTAAGATTAAATTAATATAATAATATAAATAATAATTATTTATTTTATCAAATGTAAATATTTAATTTAATTATTTATTATAATTATTTATTTAAATACAAATTTAATTATATTATCATATAATTTATTTTTTTCTCATTTCATACTTCTTATATACTACTTATTATTACATATAATATGACAGAGATAAATTAATATTTTAACTGAGAATACAATCATATCATTTTATCGTCCAAATAAAACAGTTGTCATTAACATGCATTAATACACAATCATTCAAATATAAAAAAAATTTGTCATTCTTATCATATATCATTATCATTCAATCACTGGTATTATCATACATTAATTATCCATCAATAAAATTTATCTATACAAGATCTAAAGTTGCACTTGATACATATATACGTGGAAATCAATTATGTCAGAGGATTGTGTAGTCTCAGAGAACTACACCAATTTGCATTAATGCCATGCCATGATTCCAATTGAAAAGATAAAACTTCCTCATGTATGCTCGTGTGCATGGCAGGAAGAACTTCCTCATGTATGCTCGTGCACATGTCAGGCAGAACAACAGTAGATTGTAACTATTTCTCATTCTTGAGCTTCTAAATCCAAATCTCAACAGTTCAGTTAATTTGTTTTTATCAACTTCAATGGTAAGCAAAAACCAAGTCTGTTACAGGTTGGTTACTTTTTCGCATAAAGGAAAAAATAATAAATAAAAACTAAAAACAGAAAAAGTCTTTGAAAAATCCGGCATAAAAACTTTAAATATATTCAGAATCAGGTAAATAACTTGATACTTATACACTACTGAAAAACTAAATTTTTTTTTTTTAATAAAAAATAAGGAAGTCTGTCAGGTAATTGAGTGACCACCCAAGTCAAGATCAAACCCAACTGAGAACGATCATCTACAACATCAATAGTTCAAGAACCGTCTCTGTCATTAATCACGTTCTGATCATCACATGTTCCCAATTCATCCAGAAGACTTGAGATCCTGTCTCCATAGAACTCAAGGACATAGAAGTACGAACCTCTAGAACAGATCCTGTTCAAGTAAAAAACTATTTGAGAGAGGCAAATCCATGAACTACCTAACAAGTTCATAACTTGTGTTCAGCAACTCTACAGAATATGTTTCATACAATAAACTAGATTAATTTTATTAGCCAAAAAAAAAAACCTATCCTATATTAACTAAGATGAAACTGAATGTAATTCTGTATTCCCTTCACTCTATCACAAGATTTATATCCTAAATGGCACCAGCAAGGAAGAACTTAGTTTTCCTCTTGAAGGATGCTTTTTGCCAATGTCATGAAGCAAATAATATTATCGCATATGTACCTTATAACATAGGAGAAAAGAACAGTTGTATATCATCATAATATTAAAAAATTAAGGATGAGCAAAATAGGTTGTCTTAATGTCATGGTAGTACCCTTTCCCAAAGTCACTTATAAGATTCTGATGCAGGAGCATAATTAGTATTAAGTTTTTCTCTTTTTTATTTGGTAAGCCTGATAACAATTTTTTTAGTTTTGCATTGTTCATTATTTTATAAAAACTATACAGACTAAGAAATTATTTCCAATGAATACTTCATGAAGTTTATCTAAAGTGATTATCCAGGAGAGAAGAAGAGTACTTCGTGAAGTTGACAGACTAGCATAAAACCTTCACTGAAGCGCACACAGAGATTAGTTTTTCTTCCTCAACAACCAAATATGTAGATAGATTCAATATCATAGAAAAGACAGTCACACATATAACTTGGATATACTTCATAACCATTATTTGCATTCATAATCTTGATTCACCATAAAAATTAAAAAAGTCCATGGACTTTACATCGACATTTAATAAAGGTTTCAAGTTTTACATCTGCATAAGAAACATACATGGGCAGTTCCATGTTCCATACCAGATTAAGTAAAGATGAAAGGCATTCCTGAAAGTGTCTATAACAATTATTTCCAGAGTCAGATTGATGTTCACAAACGAAAAGAGAAATGTCAATTACAATAAATTTTTCTCTGACAGTCTATGATTGTTTCATCATAATTTGTCCGAAAGCTATTCAGAATAATTAGATATTAAAATATCCATTTCCTATCTTGTGATATGCCTGTTCACTCTCAGGCTTCTGGAAAGGGTTAAACAGAGTGAACAAATGAATTTGTTGCACAATAATGTCTTATTCCAACAAAACCCGGATGATTTTACGGAATGGATCTCGAGATGCAACTATTCCAGCAAACTTTTACATGCATTTAAGGCTTCAAACATTATCAAATTATTTTGTCATACGGAAAACTGACCTGTTGGTGAACCATTGTAAGAGGTGGTTTCTCAAATGCTATTGTACACAAAATAATTTGGTTGTTGCTCAAGGGGATAGGCCCAATTTACTTGAAAATTTTCTCACCCCATGCTTCAATCATAAAAGATCAAAAAGAAGTCTTTCCTTTACTCGCCTCTCCCTCACTCCGCTTCCAATACATGCTAACAATGAACTCACTGGCACAGACAAAATCAGCGGCTGGAAAAGGTTTGCTCATTTTGAATTCTAATTTTCATTTCTCTTGGTAAGTATAATTTCTTCTTTTTTTTTTTTTTGAAATAATCTTGTTTACAACAAAATACTTCTGTTTTAGTTATAGTGGGAATTCAATTTCTACCGTTATAAGTGAGAAATATATCCCCCACATTTACTTGAGGAAAGGCATGGTTTATAAAGGACACAGTAGTTATTATGCTGAAGCATACATATATTCTTTTTTTTTTTTCAGACTTTGTTCTTTGTGCTACTTCCACATAATTGCCAGAGAGGACTTAAATTTAACCATAGTAGTCTCTTTCCTGGCCAGTTACAGTCAGCAATCAAACAATCAAGATTTCCACAACATGTTGTCAAATATCAATTCCTAAGACTCATAAAGAAAACATAATGCTAAGATTTCTACTTTTAACGACAACCTCTAGTATTTGCCTAATGCTAACAAGTTCTAATTTTAACACTAATCTCCAGTATTGAAGAAATGTCTGAAAATGAGTATACAAACATGGGAAGTAATCAAAGTAAATTTATCATAATTATACAAGATCATTGACATAGATCACTCAAGTCCATATTCACTATCAAACTCTTTTGTCAGAAATACTCTTTAAGGATCACAAGAAACCACAAATAGTAACACTCTTTACAAACTTAATGGAACCTCCCTACGAGTTTTACAATCCATTGAAAAGGAGTTTAATACTAGAATCAACATAACCTAATAAATTAAACAAAGGCAGAAGCAAACAACCCTAACAGTTGACTGACAAACGCCTGTTCGGTAATGTTTACTTCTCCCCATTTTATATGATCAATAGGTTCAAAAGCCCGATAATACAGTTCAAACACAGAAATCCAACGCAAATTATGATCACAACAAGCAACCAAAAACAAAAAGATGGAAAACCTAGAAATTAGCAACACGATAGTATGATCGAACTGAAAAACATTAGTAAATAAAGCAATATCTTAAAACGGATGTCTATTAGAAGCCTGAGTGCGGGGAGGGGTAGAAGAGAACAAACAAGGGAAGGACCACGAAATCAAACTCAGACTCACAACTGATTAAAGCCGGGGATCGGAGCAGAACCACTTGATCTCTCCCGTTAAGACAAGGATAAAACGGTGGATCTCCCTCTGAGGAAAACATTGGTCGTCTGTTGCGTTTTCTATTAACATTGCGGTGTGAAATTGGGAAGTGAGAAAAGGCTTCTTTTCTCTTTATTCATTCGGGTCTGCAATTTGGAAATCGGGAGTTGCGAAGTTGAAAAGGCTGTAAATTGGAAAGCGACACAGGAGAAGAAAGAAACCACAAACTTGGAAACAACCTTTAATAATTTAAAAATCTTTTATCTTATTCCAAGATAATTTAAGTTCAAATCATACTATAAATATACAATTTGCTATTTAATAAATACGTTATTAATTTGATTTTTAATAGTAAAACTGCGATAATTGAATTTAATTTATTAATTTATAAGATTTAATTTAATAAAATTAAAATTTTAATTAATTAATATATACTTTTAACTTTTTTTTCTGTCTAGAAAGAAAATGATAGACTTTAATTTTGTTACAGAGATGCAAAATATTAATTATTTAGGTATACATCAAATTTGTATTGTTCGAATTCCAAACATTTTATGACATGGTTGATTCATGCACTCCAATTCATTAAAACAAAACCAAAAAAAAAAATTAAAAAGAAATAAAAATTTCAATCAATCACATCATGGTGGACTAACTTTGCCAAAAAAGTATCATTCCAAAATAATAATCTAATGTTTTCAATGACAATACAATAGTACAAAATTATCATATAAAATTAATAAATTACTATAAAGTATTAAAAAAATAAAATAAAACATAAGAAAATCAAGTTTTAGTGAGATCTTTATCGTATTTTTAGTCAAATAATATAAATAATTAATTACAAATAAATTTCACATAAAATGTTTTGTTAGATTTTATACTCTTGAGAAGTATAACTTTGTAAGCTTTGAACTGAACTTCTACCACGGGGATCGCCCATGCAGCTGGGCGACAAGAACCGTGTACGGCTGTGACGGTGTCGTTTTCAGCAACTTTCAGGCACCAATACACATATAAGATAGTGATATAAAATTATGCTCCTCCTCAAAGCCAATTCTGATTCCCCCTCTCTTGATCGTGACCTGCCAGGTCCGCACCTGGCTTTATAGCTCAGCCGTGTCTTTATATATTTAGCATCAATTGCACTATATAATCACTGAAACAAGAAGTTGACCATCAATTACATCCCAATAAATCATGATTATCTTCCCAACCTAACGGAGTTATTGAATTATTTTTTCAACGTAACACAGAATCATATCAAGCTACATTAAAATCTTGGTGTACGATGAAATATGAATAGAAAAAAAAATTTGGAATTTTTTGTTCAGTGTCTCTCTGTGTGTGTGCGAGTGGGTGTCTGTGACCGCACGGAGTATACTTGCATGTGTGTGCCAGCGCGCTCGGGCGACAAATATTCCCTTCCTACTTTTGGGATTCTCTCTTTCTTTTCCTTGTTTAGTCAACCAACCTCTTCTCTCATCTCTTCTTCACACTTTTCCTGCCATAACCCACATGAAGTATGATGAACGCGGGGAGGTTACATTGGTCATACGTTCAGTGATTACTAAGAGAATAATTATTCTAGCAATTGGGTTTATACCTGTTATATATGCGGCGTAATGACTCATATTGGCTGCAGTCTCCATCATGGGTCATAAATGTAGCAATATAGCTCGAGTGGAACCGGCTTTGCCCCCCATGAGCATGTCTATCAGCGCCCGGTCTGTGACTTATGTCGGTATGCGTTGAGAAGTCATTAGTTTCAGGGCTGATGAGTCATAGTTCTGAATCAATTATCACGAGTTATCTGATACATTGCACTTGTCCGATGCACCAGTACAAACTGGACAGGGTCCAATATTATTTTCTATCTCTAGTCAGGGTATTATTATTAGTATGATCAGCCCCCTAGAGAGTAAAACCATTCTGAGCTGTATTTTGCCCGAGCAGAGGTTAAATGAAGAAGACGAACTTGAACCTTGGTTGCAGCAGCAACAAAATTGTAATTACCTCCTCCAGCAACAAGAGCTGCAGATTAGCTACTTTAATGCCAAATCTAAACTCTAAGTGGCTACTTCCAGTCCCAATGATAAGCCTTCGTGCCCAAAAAGTGTAAAATTTTATACATAGATTCCAAATTCAACTCTCTCAAAGTTCATTTGTTGCATTATAATAAAGTATATGTCAATATCAGTTACAGCCCTCTCAAAATCAAAGGTGTCTATTTCCCCTCTGCATCCGCATGCTAAAATATCTGACTTATTTTTCATGTGACCACTTATCATCAACATTAATTAGCATACCCTCATGGCATTCCGGTTTTTAAGATAATACTTAAATGGGTGCAATATGTCTGCAAATAAGCTCAATAAGTACCAAACTTCCAACATTTTGCTGCATAAATAGAACATCACATGTAAAAGAACTGGATGACAGGAAGAAAAAAGGAAAAAAGACTAAAACTTGCAGTGACAATGTGGGACCAAAAAGTTGATGCATGCATGGAAGATATACCCGGAAGGCAACTTACCAGAGGGCTTTTCAGTGCACTGAAGGGCCGGAAAATGCCAAGATGTCTCCGCAGCATTTTAATTGGTCCAGGAGGGGAGAAGCACAGAACAGTGTAGCCAATAACGATGCAGCATAGGTAAAAATTTGCTAATCGAGTTAGATACCTGTTAAATCAGCCAATATTATGCATGCCAGCCAATTCCGCTACAGATTTACACTAATTAAAAATGTTAAATTTTTTTAGAATTTTTAGTTTTATATACGAAAATTCAGTATAAATGTTTGTTTTTGATAGATTGATAGTTATTTAACATAATATTCACATATTATAAGTTATGAGTTTAACGTATCTAATATATATTTCTAAACTTGATTTCGTATGTATACAATTTATATGAGAAAAGAAATGTTACATATATTTAATATAAATTTTTAAGTAAATAATCTATTATTTTTTCTATAAAATTAATTATTTTTTTGCGCATATATAAATTTATATAAAAAATAAAAAATAGCTATAAACCCAAGATACCCCATATCAAAGTAATGAATAATAGACATTCCTGGAAATATCTATTACAGCATCTTCTACCGTCCTAGTTTTTCACACCTTCCCTGCCAAATGCCCAAACCATCATTCCAAGAAACCAAAAGAAAATATAAAACAGCGTTGCAAAGCAGTATAAATACATGCACATACACATATGAGCTGTGATGAAGGTGGGCTGTATATTAATGATCATACCTGTGATGTGTGCAGGGTAATGGGTTGCTCTCTCTATTCTCACACAGACTGCCACCTTAGTGATGATCATAGCCGTGTCCGAGGTCACCTGCTCTGTGAACTATGTCAATATTCCCAGGCAGCCATTAAGTTCAAGGTTAATGGGTCCTGGCTATGCACCAACTGTCACGCGTTATCAGATATATTGTACTCATCCAACCCACTGGCAGGAACCCAGCAGGATCCAGTATTATTTCCTGTCTCTAGCTCAGGAACTGCCTTTAACACAATTAGTGCAGAGAAGGAAACCATGAGCAGTGGTAATAATATACCAAGCAGAGAACAAACAAAGAAGACAAACTCGAAACTTGGCTGTTGCTTGAGCCTGATAATGAAAATGAGAACCTGCAGGCTTGGTGCAGTGGCAGCTTCGTGTGTAATGATCAGGAGGTTAGTCGTCATTATACAAATAATTTTGTTGATAATGACAATAGTTCATGCAGCCATCAGCACCAAATTCCCAGTAATTTCCATTTTTTTGGGAATGAAAGTGATGGCGTCGCAGCAGCTCAATCTTTCCAGGTCACAGAACAGCAACAGGAACAACTGCAGCCGGACCCATTTTATGGGGCTTCCGAGGTTGCTTTCACCAACACACCCCCAAGTGGTACTGTAAGATCCTATACACCAATAATCACCATCCGCAAATTTATTTCTCTTAAAAAATTCATTCTCTGGGTCTGTATGTTGGCGTAGGAAAAAGTTATATGCCTAACATCAGTTAGAACTGATAAGATGTCTTTTACACAAACATACTGACCAAACAATACCCTGCTTAGTCTCTGTCTAAATTCTAGTCATGCTACTGGCATCATTTGTAATGACTGTCAATAACTTACCTATAGACTTAAAATTATAACTAAGTTACTATATTATACAAAGACCTAAAACCAAATTTCCTTCATACTTGAATCAAAAGTATGGTTGAGTGAGATGAATGATTATTATTAATGTTCGATTTCTTGGAATGAGACTGCAATGATTTTTTACTGTTTTTGTTAAAAAAAATTAAGTATATAGATAGTCTATCTTTAAGGCAATCAGAGTAAGGCTTAATCTCAGTAAGCAAAGTTGGCCCAAATATATCCTAATTGTTAAATTAAATAATAATAAAATAAGTGTCTATGTAGTCTCTTATCTACTAAGTATTCTCTGATTATCACTAGCTATAGCAATTTACATCTCATTTCACGATCAGGCCCCTGTGGATTTATGTTATGCGAGTATATCACCAGACAAAACAATCGACAATACACGACAGATCATCAATGCCAAATCTCCAGACGCAAGAATTAAACTGATCTTCTCTAGCTCTTCCCTCTCAGTACTACCGCCCCAGTTTATTGAGATGAACAGGAAAGCAAAGGTCCAGAGATTCAGAGAGAAAATAAAAGCAAGGAAGTTGAAGGACAAGAACATGAGATGTCAATCAAGAAAGTCTTGTTATGCACAAATTCGACCTCGAGTGAAGGGCAAATTTATAAGGAAACAAGAGATGGATTGATTAGTTTGAAGGTCTAGGACATCATTAATCCTCACCCACAAGATCATGCTGAAGGCATCATCATATATCTCCGGTTTTTTGAAGGCAAACTCCCTTGTATCAATTTGTACAGTCAAAATTTTATCCTTTAGAGTGCTATTTACAAAAATCAAACCAGAAAAAGATACATAAGTATCTAAATAAAGTATTGCATGATTTGAGTGCGTATGACTATATTGTATGTATGAGAAATTTAGAATTCTTCTCCATACTATAACTTGCAACTAAGAGGAAACTTATACTTTCCCGGGGGTAATAAATGACGAGTAGCTTAGTGATAAATGGTAATTAAATGATTATCTAAATGGTAATAGTTAAACTTAAAAAGTCGTTTAAAAAACAAAAATAAATTTTAAAGAGTAGATTATCATAAATGGTAATCAAGCAACTATATAAATGGTAATAATTGAACTTGAAAAGAGTAGATATTAATAAATGGTAATGGTTAAACTTTGTGTAAGTTAAATAAAAATTTAAACTATTTGGACTGAATTGAGGAGCTTTTGATAGGCTCTTAAAAAACTTGCTACAAATTTAAGCTCTCAAAAGAGTATGCCTACAACTTATCTAGAAATTCACTTCTCTAAGCTATTAAGAGCTAGGAAGAGACATTTTTTGAAGAAAAATGTTGAGAATAAATAATTACATCTTTCCATAACTAGAAGAGGAATGTCAAATTCTCCTTTGATCTATCTTATTCTTGGAACTCATTAAATTTTGTTTAGGATCTGAGAGGGACTATGGGGACATGGGAAAGGAGATCTTTACACTTACATCCTGCATCATAAAAAGCTATGATTTTGAAGTTTTATCTCAAGCTTTTTAAATCCCAAACGGAAAAGTGGGAAAAACAAAGTGATGAGAATTAATGACCGTGGATAACCAAAAGCCTAAGCACCTTGTTTCCCAAAAAACCAAGGCAGATGCAGAATATGTGTAAAATCCAGCAATGCATGTACAAACTCTTCAATCTTAATCATAGCATCAACTGGAGGCCCAGTCAACAGTCCTGATGGCTGTGCATCACTTAGAATGTGATAACCAGTCAACAGCCCAGTCAATAGTCCTGACGATTTAAAGAAGTTTGCATGCTTAATTTTTTGACAGGTCGTCTGACGATGCAAGAAGATCTATTGTGCATGTAAACATCTTATTAATTGTTAAATAATTGATTGTATAATATCTAATAGCTCGAGCTGATAAAAATTACTCTCTAGTATGCTCTATCAGGGCCAAGACCAGACTGAAACAGTTCTAACATTAATGCCATGTTAAGTAATTGATTGAATGGTCAAATATCTCAAGACTTTATAACTAACAGAAAATGATCCAATTTATTATTTGTATTTTAACATAAAAAGATATCTAATATTCACTAATTATTTTGTTTATCTAGCATCTACAAACAAGCAACCTGTCAAGAGTCTTGTTCATTGGCTCTTGAACTTACAGTGTCGACTAGGTAATCAGGGAGAAAGATAGACGGGAAACAGAGAAAAGAGATACATGGTGACAGAAATTTGAATTAGAAATTAAAAATTTGATTTTCTGCTTATTCATCTCCCCCCAATTAGCTATTTATATACTAAAGAGAGACGCTCCCTTTAGTTATGACGGAAAAATAACAGGAAATAACACTTGAATCAATTCTCAATTGCAAGACAATATTTTCCCTTTCTGCTTATGCCTATTTTACCACTGTACCCTTTTTCCTCTGTTACACTTTTAGCAGCTTCCTTAGCCAACCTTGTTTAAGACAGAATTACATATTTGAGTTAAGTTTTACTTAAGGAAAGGTATACCTACAAAGATCCCAGAATTTCTGAATGCTGAGAATGGCTATCTTCTAAAACAAAATTTCTTTCCTCTACATTCACATAATAACCAGAGAGAACTTTAAATTTAACCATAGCTGTCCTTTGCTGGACATTTATAGTAAGCAGTCAAACAACAATGACTTGGGAACAGGTTGTCAAATGTCAGTTATTAAAATTTACCTTGAGAACCATACTAATGCCAAGAAGTTCTAATACTAAGTTGATCTCTAGCATTACCGTGACAGAATGAGAACGCTAGAAATAACTAAAATAAACTTATCTTAAGAATGGATTATCAACCATAATCCAGATTCACTATCATCTTCTTTCTTAGAAATGCTCTTTGCAATTATAAGAAAACGAATTATAAGCTTTCAAAGAAAATAAAAAGAAACAAATAGTAGCAAGACTCAAACTTAACAGTTACTCCTCACAACCTCAGAATCCTTTGGAAAGAGGATTAACCATTGAATCATGCATGCCTTAAGAAAGTAAACACACCAAGAAGAAAACAAACATTTCATTGTACACTTTAAAAGATAGTAAGAGCGACTGTATTAAGGGACCTTCTAGCATCTTTTGAATTTGTCTCTCCAATCTCATTCTTCTGATAGTAAGAGTGCCTGTAGGGGCGTATATTCACTTAAACTCCTCCTTGAGCCAGGGAGATTGCATGATCAAAGGCCGTAAGAGGAGGCAGGTCTCAGGATTCATCAAAGACGTCCCTGTATTTTTCCAGCAGGGTTTCCAAAGATTCATTCTGCTTCTCTGTTGCTTTGGTGTCTTGGTCTCACTTATCACTACTAAGAAGATGGCTCCATCTTTGATGTGTTGTTTCTGCTTCAACAGTTTCTGGGTTATGGTGCCAGTTAGACTTGTCAAATTAAGCTTTTTTTCTCCCTCCCGATTAATATTAGCATATTACCTTAATGGAATTTAATTATAGATAAAAATTTGAAAACTATGGAGTTTAATTGCTTCATCTAGTCAAACCCTAAAGATCATATTGTAACCGCCCAACATGATGACTTTAAAGCTTTAGCAGAATTTGTCACCCTGCATCATCTATGAGACATTAGAGCACTCAATTTTTCTAGAAATTTTTATGCATTGGCCACCATCACTGTCAGTGTCTTTTTCCCTATCACCTTATTTTTTATCAATTTCACGACATTCTCGTGAAGAAATGATAGTGAGCAACCACTATCCAAAAGGACATGTACATCATGCCCTTCTAACAATGCCCTAATTTTTGAAGTGTTTACCTGCAAATATTCCTTCACTAACCTAAATAGAAATCATACCTATGTTATCCTCCTCACCAGATATCAGTTCCTCCGATTATGGTTCATCCTCTCCCTAACTGGTAACTAACTCCTCTGCTGCCATCACAATTTTGATTTGCAACGGCGGGTCAACAATGTTGACCACCGCACTTATAACAGTAGGCAGCTGCTCTTCTAACTTCATTCTCCTATTGTGGGTGTTTTAGGGCCAAGTCCTGCAAATGCTCCAATTTCCAGGTCCCATGGGCTCCCTGGTTTCCATTAGCGTCAAATAACAGGGATTATGTCCCACAAAGTAAGCATTCTGATACATCTTAATAATTAACTGCTCCAGTAAGAGATTTTGCTCAAAAGCTTGGTTGAGAGACTACATATCTAGTAGCCGTTTGGCTGCACTTCCGGCTTTAATCCACTGATGAAGTTTGAGATGAAGAACCTTTCTGAGGAAGTCAGGTTATCTGCAGTCACCAATGCCCTAAAATGCTCAAACTGCTCCTAATATTCCAGGAAAGCTCCGATATGCACAAGCTTGTTGAATTCCTCAATAAAACCTTTCCTATTGGCCCCTTTGAACCTCCAAAAAAGCTCCTCGACAAATGCTTCCCATTCCCAGTCTCATTCTTTGCAACCACCCCTGATGCCACATTTGCGCTACTTCTTCTAGGAAGACAGAAGCAATCTCTACCTTCTTCTCATTCGGGATGCCATGAACCAGGAAATACTTATCATACTGCTGGAATCAATCCCTTAAGTTCACCCCTTCAAACAGAGGAATCTCTACCTTGGTTAATATCATTAAATGGTTCCCCTTGATTCTGGTGTACACAGGATAAGGGATATCCTCAGTGTCGCACGTGACCAAAGTGGGGAGTATTCCTTTGGCAGTCGTAACAACATCTGATTTGTGACTGGCCTGGTTGTTCGACTCCATGGATCATGAACTGCCATGCAACATTTCAACAATTTGATCAAATTGTTATTTGGTTTGACACTGTGATTCATGCATCTTGGTTATGAATTCCACAAATTGTTGGTATACTTCTTGCACAGAGTCTTCCACTTGTTGCATCTTTTTGTTGTTCCATAATAAATGTGTTCCCTTTTGATGGGGTCCTCGATGCCACAGAAGCATGGGTTTCATCAGATTCCAACTGCTCTGATACCAATTTCTCAAGATATAAGGAAACAGAGAAAAAAGGAAATGGTGAGAGAAATTTTATTTTCGGCTTATTCACTTCCCTCTAATTATCTACATTAATACTAACTGGAGGCATTCTCTTTAGTTATAACGGAAAAATAACAGGAAATAACATCTGAACCAATTCGCAACTGCAATAAAATATTTTTCCCTCTTTCCTTATGCCTATTTTACCACTTTACCCTTTTTCTTTTGGTACATTTTAAGCAGCTTCCTTACACAATCTTATTTAAGACAAGACAGTTACAAATTTTGGATTTAAGCTATACTTGAGGAAAGGTATGATCTACAAAGAACCCAGAATTTCTGAATTCTCAAGAAAATATATCTTCTAAAAAAATTTCCTTTCCTCTACATTCACATAATACCAGAGAGAACTTTAAATTTAACCATAGCAGTTCTGTGCTGGACATTTATGGTAAGCAATCAGACAACCATGATTAGAGAACAGGTTGTCAAATGTCAGTTATTAAGATTTACCTCGAAGCATACTAATGCCAAGAAATTCTGGTTTTAAGTCAATCTCTAGTATTAGAAAAAAGACCCATAAAAGATCATAAAAACACTAGAAATAATCAAACTTATCGTAAGAATGGATTCTTAACCTAATCCTGCTTGACTATCATATTCTTTCTTAGAAATACTCTTTGCAGTTATAAGAAACGAATAATAGTAAGACTCAAACTTAATGGTACCTCCTCACAACGTCAGAATCAATTGGAAAGGGGATTAACCATTGAATCAAGCATGTCCTAAGAAAGAAGACACACCCAGAAGAAAACAAACAAACATTTCACTGACAGTAGCCCCTGTTTCTAGTAAACTTTTCAGTCTACCCATCCGGTATGATCAATAATTCAGAAGTCAATGGATACAATAGTCAGTAAATAGACAAATTTCTGATAATAGAATAAAAAACATGAGTTCCCCACATAATTGAAATCCTACAAATGAGTTCCCCACATAATTGAATAATGGGAAATACTACCTCCAAGATATATCTGTCTAAAAAAACCTAACTGCAAGGAAAACTTGTGACAAGTTGATCAAACATGAAAAGGCCACAAAATATTTGAACTCCGAGCATGAATCCGATCCCAAGTTGATCAAACTAGAGGATCACCAAAAGACCCATTTGGTCACTCTGTTCAGGGAAATAGAAAATTGATGGCTCTTACACAGGATTTGAAGGAGTCTTCTTCATTGTCTTTATTCATCCTGGTATAGAATATAAAAAGGCTTGGAACGAGACTGTCAATAATAATCTGAAAGCTTTACGTCTAGCAGACTGGACTAGACTAGACTGTCACTGGATCCTTTTCTAGGACCTTGACCTTTGTCCCAACAATTATATGAAATATATTAGGGGATAATCAAAAGTTTAAGGTGAGACATAATCACAATTAGAAACACAAAGTAAACTAAAATCGTTCAAGAGTGCCGGATCTTATATCTAATGACAACTTTATATTGTTTTCTTTTCTCTTCAACTAAAATTTTGGAGATATTTATTCTTGTCTGGTCTCTTACAGCCTCCACAAGCACTCAACTCCTAGCTGTGCTTCTCATCAAAGAATTAGATTTTTCTAAAAGACAACTTTCTAGGTGCTGCCTACAGAGTACAGATTCTTTCACTGTATTTGACTTTTTTTCTTTTGAATTCAAGGACAGAGGAACAAAGAAGAAACAGACTTAACTCCTTGGAGGAATCATTTCACTCGGCGCCCATAATGCTCCTAATGTCACCTGATGTTTGGAGCCAGATTCCTGCATCAGCGCCATCAGCCAGCCCATCCTTGCCCTGGCATCAGCAATACGATTTGTTCTCTGAGGACATAACACGAACATCTGTCCTGCAAACATCTCAACCTGTCACAACAGCTACTGACAAAATCCTTCAAGGCATGCTCGTCAACAAGCTCTTTCAACACCAAGTGTACCGTCGGTCCCGAATCAATTTCAATCTGAAATTCTCACGGCAGCTAATGATGAGATCTTTGAAAGCGATCATCGATATTCTCATGTACCACCAAGTGTATCGCCCACCGCCTAGTCCATTTCAATCTGAAATCTCTGCTTTTCTCCCTGGCCCGATCAAAATCAACGCGTGGAGCCTGCAATTGAATCGCTGAACTCGATATCTTAAATCCTCAGTAATTCAACCTTTGCTCTCTGGTTTGGAGAGAATCGTTGAATATTACAGAGACAATAAATAATTAAGTACAAAAAATTTCTCATTGAGAACTACAAATAGACGAAACTAGCCTTTTTGGACTTTTTTTTTCTAATCAAACCTTTCAATTATCTTTATTATTTGAGCCAGTATTCTCTTTATCTTTTAAAATAGACAATTGTGAATTTAGAAAATAAATTTGCTCAAATTTTATATGTCCTTCCATGAAATAAAGATAACAGGAGGTGCTTCGGGAATAGAATAATCATGTAGGCCATTAAAAGGGTTTTGTTCTGGGGAAAGAAACTTTAAGGAACTCTCATTTCTCCATTGTTCTTCCAGTTCTCATCATCTTATTTGAATTTATCATTCTTCTTTCTTCATCACATGAAATATTAAACTAACGTTGTGAATGGATTTTCAGACATGATTATACAATCAAGTCAAAAGATTCTCTGCTACATCAAGCAACTGGAAAAGGAATTAGTACTACCTCTTGCTTTTCCATGTGTTCTGCAATTTCCTTGTTTCCCTCCCTCTTCTATTCTCCACATATATTATTCCAATCTCCTCCGTGGACATAATCTAGCTTTGGTAATAAGTTCTACCTGTCTAAGCTTTTTCTTTTCACACGTGCTAAAAGTTCATCAATCCTCAACCTACCTAATTATTTATATATATGCACAGAATCTACATTTTTATATACATGAAGTTCAAGATTTAAATCACATGGAAAAAAGCATGTCACTTTTTATCTTGTTAAAAGGGTCATTCCAGTAACCAAGATATATATGTACACATAAATATTACATATATCTACTCAATTTAACCAAAAGAAAAAGTCATTACAGAAGCATCCAACTTTCTTGTGTTTCCCATATAAATAGAACCTCACCCTTCGATTATTTCAACCAAGAAAGATAGTTTCTTTCATCTAGGCAAAAAAAAAAAAAAAAGACTTGTAATGGAGGCTACTATAGTGAGCCCTGCAAGTGACTCACTGTCTCGATCAGCTGGAACCACAAGGTGGAAAACTCCCATCTTGGTAACCATTTTCGGAGGTCTTGTAATCTTTTCCGTAATCATTGCCATCGCCTTGCTCTTCCTCGCTTGCTACTACCGTGTGTCAGCACAGGAGGTTTCGAGAGAAAAGGAAGAGAAATCCATGGACAGCGTAGACATACCAGCTGCCGTAGCACCAGAAATAGTTGTGATCTTGGCCGGAGATGAGCAACCTACCTTGATCGCCAAGCCTTGTACTAGTAGTAGAACTAGAAGTTGAGGTTGATATGTTGAATAATGTTAGATATACCGGTCCCTTCTGTTTTTATTGAAGGGATTATTGAAAATGAAGATGGAGATTCCCCAAGTCATCAGGTCGCAGAATTGAATCAATTGATGAAGATTGTTTTTGGAATCTGATTGATTCATTTGTAAAAATGCTATTTTTTGTGTGGTTTTTTTTTTTTTTTTTGGTTGAATAATTATGTGGATCTGAAGAATTAAATTCTACTTCTGTATTTTCATGGATAGATTTGCCGAGTTCTGCGTATGGGAACAGATATTCCTGCGCGTACCCAGACATATACATATAACGATATTGATTAATGTCAACATATATATATGTATATGTACATACATGTAGTATTATTAACAATTTCTAAATTCACGCCGTTCTTAGTTATTTATATAAGAAAAAGTATATTCAAATTTATTTGCTTAAATTATTTGATATTTTCATTCATATATATATATATATATAATGTGAATTTAAATTTATTATTTTCCGTACATACATGCATGCGTATATATAATCATATTTAATAATGACTAAAATA